ATATATATAATACTTCTATGGGATTAATTATTTAATAAGAAATTGACTGAATATAACTGTTGAAAATGGCAGACGTAATTTGTCAATCAGACTGTTAGCTTGCCAGTCTTGTCAAGGATAAATTCAGTTCCTCCAAACTGAGATTGTTCTAATAATTGTTCCTAACCTTTCCACATAACTCTAAAACTAAGGCATCAAAAGATCCTTTTAAGACAGCTTTTATTAGATATTAAGCAAATGGCTCCACGTGAACTGTCAGGTTCCTTTCAGCTGTTTGTTTGAGGAAACTTCTTCAAGATTCAGAGCTGTGTGTCATTTCTTACTGACTCCTCTACTCCACAGTTCATTTTTGGCTTTTTACATTTCTTTTTGTTTCATGCACCTTCATGTTTTGTTGTCCTCTCACCTGTGGCACTGACTACTGTAAGCTGATCACTTTTTGTTTGGAGACTTTTGATGTATTTATTTAATTTTTTGATTTTTTTAAATTCTTGTTTCATCTTTGAAGCTCCACAGATTCCTGTTCAGAGCATGCCATTTCCTCTTCACGGAATGAGACTGCATGTCTTACTACATTGCCACAAATAACTAATTCTGTCTTTATTTTGTCTTTTCCCCCATTTGTTCTATTCACATACTTTGGTTYTTTCCTGCCTGTTCAAAAACCTTCGAAAAACTCTGAAACACCCCCACCCACCCCCTACCCACCCCAACAAAAAAAAATCTAAACTGGACTTTTTGAACTGAACTGACTCTTGATGAACTGTGAAACTATGAAACGTTGCCCCTCCCCGGTCATGGCCTAGGCTTATTATAAGCGTCAGGATTTAGCTGAAGAGAGAGACTGTTGGGATCTCCAGAGGGAGGTGGTGAAGCAGAGGTCGCTGCGCAGCAAGCGTCTCCACAGCATCCCAGAGGTGGCTGAGGAGGAGTCGGACAGTCTGGACAGCATGGGCCAGCACCTGAGCTTTGACGAAGGCAGGCGGACAGGAACACCACAGTCTCAGCAGAGGATGTACCCCCCAGAGTCTCACAGCCACCACACCTCCCGTAAAAACTCACGCCTGCAGCGCCAACGCTCCTCCCCTCGCTTCACCGACAGCCACTTCGGCTACAGCGTGGACGACCGCAACTTTGGACGGCCCAATCGACAGAACACCAAAAGTCCCGACAGTGGTTTAGACTGCGGCAGCGAGGAAGAAGGCTCACTAGGACGGGGTCGTCGAGGGTATTATGCCCATGGGAGTCCCACCCGGGGGCCTGTACGCATCATTCACTGCGAGGGCCCGGTAGAAAGGCGGGCGCTGGCAATGGGCCGTAAAAAAACTCTGACCCGTCAGTGCAGCATGGAGGAGGAGTTCTCTGACATCCCAATGACTGCAGCCAAGTCGGTGCACACGGGTGACTTTAGAAACAGGGAGCACTTTGGGCCTGGTCGAGAGGTCGGGCCCAGAAACTACTCCAGGGAAGGAGCACTGAGCGAGGGCAGGCTGAACGAGCTGGACAGGGTCTATTATAGCCCCCACAGGGAGGCTAGAGCCCAGTCTTTGTCCAGACTCAACCAGGACCAGCCGCTGGTGTGTGATTCACAATTTCTGCAGTTTTTTTTACCATCAGCAAGCTGCAGCCATTCTATATTCTTGATGTCTGTTTTTATTATTTTTATGGCAGCCCTCTTTATTTATTCATATTTTAATTTAGCTTCTTTTTCTTAACAAGATGTCATGTTCATGGTTGGTCTAATTTGATTTCCTTTGTTGTGTGGAATTGTTTTGCGTGTATTCAATATGTAAGGTGTCTTTTTGGAGTAAAACTGTTTGTAACCTAAAGGCCATTTTAGGTTTTGACTTCTCATGTCTTTGAGGGGAAAAGCTCCATTTGAAGGAAAGTCTCTGTGCAGTGCATGGGGACATGCTGTTCCTGTCGTTTTCTGCTCGCCTGTGTCTTCTCTCTGCCAGCTGCCACCTTCATATGTTGCTGTTTTTGTCTCCCTCACGAGAGCAGCAGTCATATTGCTCCAACATGTGCTTGGAGCTCTATGTCAGCATCTCTTGCCCTTCATTGCTACACATACGTACAGTTTTAGAAAGTTCATTTAACTCTCTCGCACATTTTTCCCCTCGTTTCATTTCATTAAAAAAGATGCTGTTCATCATAATGTTGTGATTCTGTTGTGATTGTTTCTTTTGCCAACAGCTCCAGGCTGAAGCTATGATGGCTTTGCTCATTCGACCATGTCTTTCTCCATTTTCAATCACACCCCTCTAATATCATTCCTCTTAAAATCTACTGTCGCTTTGTTTTTTAATCACCATTCTTTTTTTATTCTGTCATTTGCTTCATTTTGTGATCAAGGAGCAGACATGCACAGAACAAAACAAACCAGACGAATGGTCTTTAGTTTGGCCCATTTCTGAACTTAAGTCCATATTGTGTTTGGGGTTTGTTTATTCGTTTTAGTGGATTGTGAAGTGTCTTTATTGTATTTTTATGATTATTTTGAGTTTGCCTCCCTAAAGACAAATGGAAGCTACATCATTTGCTCTTATGGCTTTTCAGTTGGGTTTATTGGGATTGCAAGATTTTGAATGTTTATATGCTTTCTCACTGTAGGTGAATTGGTGTTCTAATATTTTTTCCGTTGTTGTTTTTTTAACTCTAAAGATCATTGGAAACTCACCGTCACATGGGAGCCACGATCATCTGGACCATTCAGGGAGGAGGCTGGTTCACATTGGAACCCCTCCTCAACGACGGCCCATCCCATCCATTGGTTAGTGAGGTCACCACATGAGGATCTCCACCTGCAGGGCAACTGATGTTTGTGCTGTTTATACCATGTGTTTCCCCTGCCAATATCAGCCAAGCTGTACATCTCTCCTCATAGAGCTTTAACAACCACATAAGTCCTTTTTGGTGGGGTGTTTGCACACCCTGTAGCAGTCCATCTTCATGAGCTGGATTCGCCAAATGTTCACATGCAATTTTGTAGGAAMGTTGTCCCATATACACTCCCTATGTCTGTTTTCACTGTGGGTTAACATGTTTACACCCAATCTGACCTCCCCTGCAGCAGTGCAAGCATTGCTATTTTACACCCAGAGACTCCAGAGAGAAACTTGTTGCCTTATGCACCCACATTTCAGAGCAACCTCATCCACTGTCTCAGCTTGAGTGAATGGGCCATGGGGTAGGGCAGAGTGTGTGTTGGAGGGAGGGTCGGGATCTCTGACCATAACATTGTGATTGGTGTCTTCTGTAGAGATCACCATGGACAGTAACAGTGAGGGGAGTGAGGGGAACCTCTCACCTGTCAAGGAGGATGTTTACTATGGCAGTGTAGCTGGACGCAGGATATGGCGCTCTTTGTCCTCAGAAGATCAATATGGTATGTGTTGCAGCTTCTCTCCAAAGATYACAATTCACCTTGACATTGCCAGAAAAGTTCAAGAATTCTTCTTGGAAACATGTAGTAATGTCACGGTGGTTCTGTGCTGGACAGTTAGCTGCTTTGTTGAGTTTAGCTTTGCTTAGCTGAATAAAGCTGACTGGGGAAGACAAGACTGACCACTTTTCCCATTTTGCKGGAGAATGAATATCCCTTCCCTGTATGTCCTACACCTTTAATCCCAAAACAACCCCCAACTCACCCAACTCTTCCCATTAATCCACCATATTCAGGCAACTATCCACTGATCAGCAACTTATCCCACCCTCCTCTTCCTTATCTTTTCCTTCTTCTTCCACCTTTATGAGACAGTAGACAGAGCCCCTTGTTAATTTTGCATGAGTTTTACCAAAACTGTGAGAAGAAGAGGCTTAGTACTGGATAACTTGCCTTGGTAGTACCACTTTGTTGCCTATCATAAAACAAAAATCAAAGATCATCTTCAACACAGCACATCTCCGTTACAAAGTTCTTAGTCAGTTGTACAACCTGCCATTAAAACATTGAACATGGTGATCCATGGAAAGCTTGGGAAACTGATATCAGGTTCATCCCGTCCCCCTCACTGTCCCTGATATCTGCATTAACCATTGGGGCCATTTGATTTGTTCCTCCCATCAAAGCATGACTCGCCTCACTTGTGGCTTAAATGCACAAAAGCACACCTGCAGCTGATGTATGAATGCTCCACTTGATTCATCTAATCACTGGACAGCTTGCATGTGAACCAGCCTTTGTGAGATAAGGCAGTGAAACAGCAATYAACAGTAGCGCTGTCTGTGTTACTTGTGTGTCAATCCCTTGTGTTTCCTTTCTATGTTGTGTTGTACTCTGTTGTATCTGACACACCAGCAAGAAGTGATGTGTGAACAAAGAACCCTACAGTGATGTGAATTTATGTTTACATTAATGGACACAACATGTGTTTCACTCTTTAAAAAGGAAAAATTAAAAGTTTAACCATAGCGTCTGACCATTGGCTCTTTCTTCACACACGTATCATGTTGCCCTCTTCCCTGTCAGCTCTAATGATGAGACATCATCTGCTCTCACTGCTTCTACAGCCTGCATGGCTGTYCAAGGCTGGTAGTAGCAGCAGAGGCCTCCTTTATGTTTCAGATGGCTACGGCGGGCACAGACACAGGCGGGGACGGCGATCCCCAGATTATTTTGAGGAATCGGAGCCAGAGGACCTGACCCGAGTGTTTGTGGCTCTGTTCGACTACGACCCTCTCTCCATGTCTCCCAACCCGGATGCTGCCGATGAGGAGCTGCCTTTCAAGGAGGGCCAGATCATTAAGGTGGGAATTCATTCCTCAAGCTGCCAACATGGACAGATGGRTCTTCAGCTAATGGCTTGTTATCTTCTCTATGTTCCTTTCATTTCTGCAAGTTATCTCTCTTGTTTCTAAATGGGATCTTGTTATTTTAGGTGTTTGGAAATAAAGACACGGATGGCTTCTACAGGGCAGAGATCCGAGGCCGAGTGGGTCTCATTCCCTGTAACATGGTATCTGAGATCCAAACAGAGGATGATGAAATGATGGGCCAGCTTCTCAAGCAGGGCTTCCTCCCACTAAACACTCCTGTGGAGAAGTTAGGTGAGACAGGAATTTCCATCTTTGCCTTTTTTTTAGCTCTGCCTTTATGAGCTGTCTTTTATTGACTTGCTTCTCCTTTCCTTACTTCTTCTTTTGCTTCTCTGTGAAGTGAACTGTGATCGTTTTAAAGATGGCCGTTCAATAAATCGCAGGTCCAGAAAATCCAAGAGAGGTCTGTGTGCATAGAGATGCCCCTCCTATTTCCATCTCACTTTTGCTTTTTCTATCTCTTTACTCATCCTTCATCCTTATTTATTTGATAACATTAGGCTATTTCTAGTCTGACCCAATCCTATTTTGTTTCAAGAAATGAGCTGAAAACGATTGAAAATCTGGCAAAGTTCAAAAGAAAAACTTAAAAATGCCTTCATAAATTATAGACAACTTTTTATACTTTATAAGATTCTAAGAAAGTCTGCTTCTTCCAGAGCTAAATGTAAACATATTTGTTGACAGACTGTTATTTGTCATAGCAATTTCAATATGATTTTTATGTTCTCACCAAATAATTCTTCTGCTTGTCTCTACATTTTGGTGTTTTTCTTCTCTAGAAAGAAACAGGCGGAGCGGGCGTCAGTATCCGATGTCAACACGGAGAATGGTGGCCCTGTACGACTACGACCCCCGGGAGAGCTCCCCAAATGTTGATGTTGAGGTACTAATCTCCAGCAGATCAAATCTTTTATTTTTCAAAATTTAGTCAACTGATATAACCAAAATGTTAGTTGTCAATTTGGAAAAAAAACTCAAATACTTGATTAAGATTAGAAGGGCGTACCAAGAGCTGTTCTACTTTTCATTTAGTCTGGTAGATTTAAAACGTACTTTCCAGTGCTGTTTTCTTTGGCCCCTCCCCCTTGGTTTCACTTACTCTCACCTTTCTATTGGCACTGCCACCCACAGTATGAAGGCAACAGACTGAATGAGGAGGTGAGTGAGGCTGAAGAGGGTACCGTCTACTCCATGTGTGTGTTTCCTCCCCTGTTTGTTAGAGTGCAGAGGGAGGAGGTGGGCCTCAGATGACAGTCCGCCGTCCCTTTCTCCTTGGTGGTCACAAATACTGCCCCTTTTGCATTGTCTGAGCCAGCATCTCCCCTCCTCGGTTTGGTCATTTGTGTCGATCTTTTTCTCCTATTTACCGTAAATATATATATAAATATGCTGTGTTTGGTTTGTGTGGTCTGGGGAAACCCATTGGAGAGATGTGCTCAGTGTGTTGCAGTCCTGTCTTCAAAGTTAAAACATCTGATGCATTTACAGTCACAATCTACTGAGACAGTATTGGCATGTTTAGGATGCATCACATTGATTTGGAGAAGGAGGCACAACATTTCAAATTCATCAAAGCCCAACAGAGAATTGATGTTTTGAAACGTTTTTTGGCACATAGGACATATTTTTACAGCTAAGTTAATAAAATTGATCAAACTTGTCTCAAGTTGTTTTATTTTATTTTAATTTTTGYCAGACTGAACTGACATTCTGTGCTGGTGATGTCATCATGGTGTTTGGTGAAATAGATGAAGATGGATTTTATTATGTAAGTAAAGACATTTTATTCTCTTATTATCCTGCAAGTCAAATCAAAATTTGTTTATTGTATAGGTCATTTGAAAACGTCTTTTGCTGATCAAAGCGCTGTTCTCTGTATCTGTATAAACCCACCCGACCTCATGCTAACCCTCAGTATGACTCTTATAAAACTTCAAGCACTGGTAATGATGTCTAATGCATGTCATCCTCTGAATARGATGAACTTATGACCTCACTGTCAAACACTTTGGCAACTGCCTGATAACACTCATGTTCCAATCGTAATGTCACCACTTATTTCAGTCACCTAGTGGGCAAAGAAGGCCATCTCACTTGAGTGTGTATTTCACAATGATGGGTCATGGTTTTACATGTGYTAACAAACCTCAGAAAGGCATGATATAAATTTTTTGAAGATATTGAGCTGAGGCATTCATATACAACAGGTCTCCGTAAATTAAAATTAATACGAATGCTGCTGTGTCAAGCCACCTTTTCACCTTAAAAGAACAATTTAAAATGTTTCAGAAAAAAKGCCCTGTTTGAGTTTCTACACAAATTTATCAATATAGGGCTATAATCATCAAGCAAGACACCAAGATATTTGTGTGAACCTCTATGATATTTCCCTCGAGGATGAACACAATGGGCGTAGTCTGAGCCACCATCTTGGAGTTAACAAATAATATTAATTTAGTCTTTTCAACATTGAGTACTACCAGTTTTAGAAGTACTGGGTGTGGTAGAAAATTTATTAAAAAGGCAGAAACACGTGAATGAAACAAAGTGTACTGCGTGGTGGCCGTCAAGATGATTTAATAAAATGACGGAGAATCAACTCAGCAGACCTGATCAGAGAAATCTGTCAAGTTGCTACTGCAGAACAATGAACAGAGGTACAGTMTTTACATCCGGCAGTTAGATGAGAGCAAAAATCTATGCTGAATATTTTTCATCCCATAACTGTTATCACCAAGATCTGTACATTCAGCTGATTCGGCAAAATACTCCCGCACACACTTTCCTGATGCACCAGTAGAAAAAAATGAAATCTTTACTTTTAACTAAAGCAGGCGCGTTGGAGGGTTTAATGACAGAGTGAGTGGCCCCCGAGTCCACAAGGAAAACAACAGGTTTCTTATCAACCAGTAGAACAAAAGTTGGATACAGCTTGTAGGCCTCAGATAGATACTTTACATAACTGTGTGTGTTTATGTATATCAGAAGCCTTTGTGTGTGTTTCAGAAACTTGTGTGTGTGTGTGTGTGTGTGTTTCAGGAACTTGTGTGTGTGTTTTCACCAGCTTGCATGTGTGTGCTTTCACTTACAGTATCTTAGTAGGCGTGCTGCTGGCGATCTGATCAGTCTGCCCTCCTCGCGTCGCCCCCCCCGCCGATGCCATCTGCGGCCTTGCTCGACGTCTTGTCAGCTGCTGTCCTCCTGCTGGTTCCCACAGAACTTTCTAGGACATTTCCTGACCCAGTGGTCTGGGGAGCCACAGATGTAAAAATACCCATGATTGGGGAGCCTCTGGGAAGTTTGCTGACGCGTCCGTTTACCGCAGCCCCTTCCACGACTGCGAGGGAAATGTCCAGCACTCCTGTCAGCAGCAATCTCCTTATCAGTGGCTTGTTTGGACACAGTCTGGACTAGTGTAAGCGGTGCTTGTCTCTGTTCTTCAGAGGGTAGTTTTTCTTCTGACTCCTTTTTCCTCCTGCAGTCTCTTTTGGGCGCACTTGGCATGCCCATGTAGTTTTTCCAAACGACAGTCGTCCAGGTCCATGCAGGTGATTTTTATCGCAGCAAGGATCTCAGGCAGGAGTCCATTGATGAAATGTTGGCTTATACTGGACTCCCAACTTCCGGCCTGTTCACCCAGGCTTGTTGGCTCATCAGTCCGAGTTTTCGTTGTGCACAGCAAGCAGCCTAGTGAAAAAATATTCTGTTGATTCAGTCCTCAGTTGTTTGCATGCCTTTATTTTAGCTATGATGATCCTTCTTGGAAAAGCTCTTTTGTTCGTGTCACACAGCTTATCCAATGCGGCATGGTAGGTGGCGTTTGCCGCATTGTCAAAGGTAGGATGCAGGATGCGGTGTTCCCCCACTAGGTCAGCTTTGACCTTCTCAAAGTTGGTTCAACCCAAATGAAGGATTAGCAGTCTTCTCAGCTCAGGCCATGTGGGGAGTACTTCCATGTAGATGTCTCGAACTGCATCGCTGAACTTATCACCCCCCTCGACCACGTTCGGGAGCTGCTGCATACATGCCTTCATATCTTCCATTGTCCAGGGGCGAAACACCAGCGCTGGCCCAGCATGTCCTGCGACCTCGATCATTGGGGCTTGCAATGTCATTTCACTGGCCTTTTGAGTGATATCTGCTAGCTGCACCTCCAGAGCTTCTTTTTCTTTCTGCAGTTTAGCCATCCTTCTTGTGATTTGCTGTACAACAGCCTCTGAGCTCTGAAAGCCTGTCTTGGAACGAGAGGGCTCTGCTGCGTTATTGCTCTTGGTTCTTCCTCTGATAACCTTCTTTGCTCCAGCTGCTGTAGCTGATGTTGTCACCTTTGAGGACTGTGGTTCAGTTTTGACTGATGGAATMTTCATGAGAGGTGAGGGAGGGTCGGTATCAGCCTGGTTGTCTTCATCAGAATCTGTTTCCAGGCCCTCCTCTGCTTCGGCCTCATCCTCCTGTGTTTCATCATCAGAAGCATTGCTTGTCAAGCCGGGTTGGGTTGGAGGGAAGGGACATCGCGCAGGAGACAGAGTGTCATCACGCTTGCTCAACAGCCCATAAAAAAGAGAGGGGTAGAGAGAAGAAACAAGTTTAGAAGTTTTAAAAGCAGGTTTTTTTTTTCTTTCTTTTCATGCTTCACAGGAGTGTCAGGCTCTTTAACTCTTTTCTTTTCTCTATTAGGAGAATCACAGTTTAACATGCACATTTATGTGTTCATTTGTAAATTTTCCCTCCTTTGAGCCTCATTCTCACACACTAAAAAGCACCTTTTATGACGTTCTAGTTCTTCTAAGTCAGAAACTTTAATCATTGTCTTAGATTTAAGCTTAGATTCGTGTTGTAATAAGCACTCACGCAGCTGAGCGAGCTGATTCAGGCTAATCGACCCACCCTCCAGGAAGCCAAAATTTTCCGACCACGCACCCAGACATGAGACAGCTTCTTCGCCATACGTCTTAATCATAGCCTGAACGCAAGGCACGTTGATCGCTCTCTTTGGCTGAACCGCAGTTGTAGTCTGTCCCATAATTACTCCTGAGCTCATGCCTATATTCCACAGTACAACTTCTCTTGTTTTACTGTACATAAAAGAAGTGAGGCGGCCGCCTTCTAACTGACGTAAAATACTTTGTCTACTACTCGACAGAACCCAAAATTCCATCTATGACTCAACAGAACCTATAATTCTGTCTACCATTCGACAAAACCTAAAATTCTGCCTACCACTCAACAAAGCCTCTACCAGCCGTAGAGAGTGAAACAGATGTGCGTCTAAAGAGATTAGAATGTCAGTGCAATGGGCCGAATAACATTAGCTTTTAGCATTCACTATCAGAGCTTATAGCAAAAGGGCTATAAACAAAATAGCTTTCTCACAGTGTTTTTGCATTGCAAAAAGGTCAGTTTTTCCTCCAGCTCCAGATCACCCACCACAGCCGAAGTGAAAACAGTCAGTGTCAGGGTCAGTCGGTGGAGAAAAAAAATCTGAAAAAAAGGTAGCTCCTCAGATTTGAAGCGAAACAAAAGGGAAAAATTCTCATTTATTCCCCCCACTGTCATCCTTCCTCAGCCCCTGTGGGCTCACCCGTTGCTGGAGTTCCATTCTCGTGATGCAAATTTTGGTAGAAATATTTATTAAAAAGGCAGAAACACGTGAATGAAACAAAGTGTACTGTGTGGTGGCCGTCAAGATGATTTAATAAAATGACGGAGAATCAACTCAGCAGATCCGATCAGAGAAATCCATCAAGTTGCTACTGCAGAACAATGAACAGAGGTAAAGTTTTTACATCCCGCAACAGATCGTGAGCATCCAATCACAGACCGACAAATGTCAACATGGTCCAATCACAGAGCACCAGCTCGAACCAAGATTACCAAAATAAGAGCAAGGCTACAGACTTTAAAAGGCATCTTGAAATCATGAGAAACAGATTATACAAGGCGTAGCAGTTATCGAAAGAGATACAATAATATGAATGTCAAGACAGTATGAACTTGTACAGGCAGAGAGTTATATAAGTAGTTATATAATTAGTCCATCACACTGGGAAAGACACTGAACCCCCACTGCTTAATCCAAAGCAGTAAATAATCGTGTCATCAGCATAAAAATGCATATTTGCATCCAACATGTTTTATCCTAACTCCTAATTCATTAGTACACAAAATTAACAGGAGGGGACGTAATATTGAACCTTTTGGCACCCACTAGTGGACACTCATAAATTCAGAACACAGACCATCACAATTGTTAACCAGGAAACTATGATCTGACGGCCCCAAACAGAGAAGCCTATGGTTCACAGAGTCAAAAGCTGTTGACAGATCAATAAAACGAGATGCACAGTACTGCTTTCTATCAAGAGCAACAAGTATATCCACTTTTGTGGCTGCAGTGATGGGGCTGTGCTTTTTCTTGAAGCCAGATCACAGTTTTGAAAGAAGTTTGACTATAAAAACTCTTTTAGTTGACCATAAACAAGAGATTCAAAAATCTTTGACAAGACACAAATTTGATAATGGCCTGTTATTAGTCTGCTGGGTCACCTGCTTTTAATAAGGGAGTAACAAACGTTGACTTCTAGATTAAAGAGATTTCTTTATTTTGGATCAAAAGATTAAAAAGAGTTGTAAGAGGCTGTGCCATTTTCAAAAAGTAGGCCTCTATCATGTCTGGACCAGGGGGTTTTCTGTGATGTAATGCACTGAGGGCCTTATGCACCATGGCTCAGTTGGAATAGATGTGCCATCTCAGCAATAAGGTTGCTGGATCGAATCCCGGCCAGGGACCTATCTGGGTAGAGCATGCGTGTTCTCTCTGAGCATGTGCGGGTTTTCTCCAGGTACCCTGGTTTCCATGACTGTTAGGCAAATTGGTAGCTCTAAATTATCAGGTGAGAGAGAGAGAGACTGAATGGTTGTCTCTGTGTGGCACTGTGATGGACTTAGAACCTGTCCAGGGTGTACCCCACTCTTCACACTGTGAGTGCTGGATATGGACCTCAGTGACCCAGAAAGGAAGAAGCAGATTAAGATAATGCATGGATGATCAAGTACAAATGAAAAAAAATCTACTATAGGATTCTCAATCAGCATAAAACAGTGTTTGCAATCAACTCAAAAAGCTGCTGTTAGAGGAATAAAAGGTAAAGTCTTTTCAAAGTTAAACAAGTTTACAGAACAGCTTATTGTATCAAAACAGCCACAGTTGTACAAACTCTCCAAGAGGTTTGGAATTCACTTAGCAATGCATCATCCTGTTTCCACTAATCAGCTCTATCACAGCTTGTAACGTTATCATCATTGGTCCTCTTCAGTTCTAGAAAGGTTCCTAACCGTTGGGAAACATTTAAAGTTCAGTGTGGCTCTCATTTTTTTTTCCTGCAGGGCGAGCTCAACGGACACAAGGGGCTCGTTCCTTCCAACTTTCTCGAAGAAGTGCCTGATGACGTTGAGGTTTTTCTCACTGATTCACCATCTCGCTACCCCCAGGACACTCCAGCACGGATAAAGACCAAAAGGGTACATGCTCCTTCGCAGTACTAGCCCTCTGTCATCCATTTACTTATTTTTTATGTTCCCTCAATCTCCCTTAGTCTTGTGTCTGTCCATGTGTCTCACTGAGCCAAATACAAAGGGATTTCTGACTTTAAAAGCATCACCCTGTAAATAACTAGATAAAAAAAGAAACTTTAAAACTAAAACTTGACCAAGGTATTTTTATTTTTTTCATGTTTACTACTGTGAAAAGGGGGACGTTCTGCATTGTGTAACAAATGGATTTATTGTATTCATAAAGCATTCTCTGTGAGATTAAAGCTGATGGGGGAAATGCTCCTGTGACTTTTTAACTTATGTCTTGAAAAAAATAAAAAACAGCAGCTAATACTTTTTGCACATGCCTATGTAACATTGGAAAAGATGCTTTATGAATATACTCTGTGTTTGAATTAATTTCTAATAGAGTAAATAGTTTTGTTGTACTGACAGATGAACTATGTAGTCTGTAGCTCAGCATGGTATATAGTCCAGATGCATGAAKGTTTTATATGAAGATGAGCCTAGCATAGTACAACTTTTGTATCTGCTCCTGAATGCCTTGTTTTGTAAATTGCTTTCTTGTAAATTAGCAAGCAAAGGTCACTTGCTACCAGAGAATAAATTCAGGATTTATTTCCCAAATGTAAATATGTGATGTTATTTTTGTGTTTAACAAATAATGCAGTTGTTTAAACTATTCGTAGTTGTCATCAGATGTTTCCTTCCTTCTGTTCTAATTTGCCATTGTCATAGTGCTAAATATTGAAATGCCATCACCATATTTTTTTATTTCTTTTTCTCACCTGCTTGGCAAAACAGAAGAAGAGTGTTCATTTCACACCTTAAAGGCTCTGTTTCCGTCACGTAAGTGAGCAACTGAGGATACCAAGATTACGCTCCTCTCGTCTAATGCAGATGGCATGGGTATCCTTAGTTTCTGGTATGCAACATGTACACTTTGTATGACGTTCCTTTCAGTGCTGCTCAGTTCTGGTTTTATCTTTGTTCGAACAAAACATTCAACATATTTTCTTGGGTGGACATCGTTACCCTAGGCAATGCATTAGACAACCAGTGTGGTATCTTCAGTTGTTTCTCTGAGTGTTGTACATGACAATGTCCGTCTCCTGCAATAAGTCTCCTGCTGTAACTCATGATACGCTAAAAGGCCGTTCTTCCACAATTGCACGATTATTTGAAAAGCAGTTGAAATAAACAGTACTGATAGGAAAATTTGATTTCTGTCAGTGCAGCTTAAAAACAAACTTAAAAAACCTCAAACATATTTAATTTTGAAACTCAGAAATACAGGTTTTTTTTAAACAAAGCACTGCACTCTATTTTGCTTTGGGTCTTTTTTGGGACATAGACTTCAAAACAAATAACCTGATTTAAGCATACATGGCAAAAAATTTAATCTAATTATGTAACAAAAATGCTACAAATGCACAGAGAGGGTATATAAAATGTTCAAACTATTAAATCAGTACTATTTTTGTGAAASTGTTTTAATGATCAAGTAAAATATATTTAAAGTGCAACTATTAATGAGGTGCTTAAAAGTTAAATCTTTACATTCAGCTATTGCCATGTTAACCTAAACAGTAGCACAAATAGTAACATGATTCAGTGAATCATGTTACTCAGTGGTATTTAGCCAACAAATATTAGGTCTGTAAGGAAAAAGCGCATTTTGTTTCTTACGATTTAGATTTGAAGTGAAAGTTTCTTTGACAAAGTCTCACCTTAACTCCTCACATTTTCTGCATTGCAATTTCTGACCAAATACCAACACAGATACGGCCTTGTGTAAAACTTAAATCTGTACTCAAGTGCAATTTAAGAGCCTTTTAGCTCATGATTACAGAAAATAGTGACAAGTAGTCTCTTTGTAACCCAGTTGTATTAGTAAATATTTATTTTTAAGCGGAAGTGAACTGAATGTGATATGAATTTGTCCCAAAAGTACAAATCTGTTCATGTGAAATCAGCAGCTTTTGATAGTTGTAGTTGGGAAATTGTTACCTTACATTGATGAAGTTAGTTATTGTCACGTTTAACTTGTGTGTTATTGTAGAATATTTTTAAGTTTCTTTTTTTTAAATCAAAGACTGTTCCTACCGTACAGAGTGGGTGGGAGGGGGTGTTTATCCATACCTGAGTGTACAGGACAACATGTGAGAGGAGTGGGGGTAGACCTCTATCTTTATTGGTGGCCCTGCTAAGACAGAAAGGTGGGGGGAGTATTGACTGTGGTATGAGAGACGGTTTGCTTTTTACCACCCTCAACTGTCCCTTACGGGTCTCCCATTAGGTTCCACTGGAAAAATCGTCTCTGCACAGAAGAGCACCCTCTCCCACAGTGCGTCCACACATCCCTGGCTCCGGCCCTGCCACCACTGGGCCCGGCAGTCCCTTCAGGGCCCCAATGGAAATGTACTCCTCCCAAAAGAAAAAGGGACTGCTCTCCAAAGGGAAGAAACTATTTCAACGACTTGGCGCTGTAAATTAAGGTTTTTCCACATCGCTTGGAAAGTGGCATCCGCTTCCCTGGGAAAAGAATTCATACACATATACATATATATAAATATAATATAAAAAATTATGCAGTTGGCATTTGTGAGCTTGGCAACTGCTTTTATTTTTTAAACATATGTTGTATATCAGAATATTTGTATTTTGTTATCAGTATAAACATATTTTCAATAATTTCCTATTCTGGTCCCACAGCCTTGTGAAGGGCAATGTAAAGATGTGCCACTTACCTCCAAGTCTCTGGCTGACGAGTTTGCAGAAAACTGAGCATTTTGCACACAATTACGCCTTGCATTAAAAAAAGTACTAAAGGTCTGGCTAGTGTGTTTGTCTACAGAAATCAGAATGTCACTCAAAAATACACACGACTCAGCATCCATAACAAATTTAATGCAAGACTTGAACTGTGGTAACTTGTTCAGAGCAGTCGGTCACATTATGAGTTGGGCGTGCTTTACTTCAGCATTCCCTTCTGACCTCCAGAGTGAAAATGTGTCTGGCTTACTGTTGAACTTGGGAGGATGCAGTATAATAATCAGAAATAACTTCTCTCCAGCCCCGCCCCACCCTACGCTTGTTGAGCACTTACTAAAAACAAGCACATTGTTCATCTACAAAAATGTCTCTGCTGTAAAAGCCTGGTAGATCAAACTTCCTTGTGTTTGCCTTATAATTGCACAACGGTTCATATTTTGTCCAGTTTTGTTAACGTTAGTTGATAAACTAGATGTTTGCAGATGTTTCATCAGGATTGTCCATTTAGGGTGACTCTAGAGCCAGCATTAACATACCTGCTGCCAATCGTTTAAGGGAAATATTTCACTTTGAAAGTCAAAACCTCTTACAAAATTTGAAACCGACTATAGGGCTCAAGTTTTGACTATTACTATACCAATTTCAAACTATTAAATAAATCTATGTAATATTGATAGTTATTGATAACTTGGGCTGCATTTGATTCCTTGCATGCAACCATTGACAACTTCATAGCAGTAAAGGTGAAACAATGCTACCTCTACTGGCCCTTATAGATAAATATTTTTTATTCAATTTGTCATCAATGCCTGTTTAGTGTCCCAAATTGTTGGTGCAGAATTCAAGTACTGTATGTGAATATGATATCTACACCTTAATGTAGAGTAGTGAATGTAAAACGAATTGAAAGCCAATGTATCTTTTAAAAGCTTCCCCAAAGGATTGTGAAGACGTCCAACTTTGTGCATGAAAGTCCACCACGTTCCACACCGTTTCTCATTTAAGTCCATCTTAAAACTGAGTGTTTTTCTAGTCAGAGGTGAAGTGAAACTGCCAAAAAAAGGTATGCAACACATTTAAATACTTTTACAATTTTTGGCTGAGCAGCCGTAGTAATCTACACTAACCTACCGTCTTCTGTTTCAGGACCAGGTCCGCTGACATTACTTTTGTTTTATGTGACAGGAGCTCTTTTTGTACTTTGTCCATTTGTAAAATTGTTTTTAAATGTTTATACTTGATTTTCAGACTGCCTTTTTTGTACATTTAACTTTATAATCCAACAGTGCAAGCTTTCTCCATGGCATCTTTAAGACCATATTGTTAAGTCTGCAGCTGTGTGCTAGCTTTGACAAGAATTATCAGCCTATACGGATGGTTACAAGTTATTGTGTGGGTGTGCATGTGCAATCTTTTTTAAAAAGAAAAAAAAAAACCTAAATAAATTTATTATTTTGTAATGCGTATGTGTCTGATTTGCCTTGAAATACTAGAGATGAGCTGCACAGAAGCTCAAATAACAGGTTTATTTAACATTTTTTGTATTAACCATTACAAGCCTGGCTGATGAGCCTTAAAGTGTTTCAGGTTGTTTAAACTCTGCACTGTAAAGGATAATAATGTAAGAAAATTTAGTGTTCATTAACTGAAATCGAGACAAAACCACATAAATATTGAATAGATTTAAATGTGAAGAGAATGAGGACCATACAACACCAGTGACTGAAATGAACCGAGGTTTAATGCTGTCATTGCAAGCAGGAAACCCACGCTGAATGAAAACCGGAAGCCCCGGCTATAAGTATATGGTTTTCGGTGCCCGGTACGCCCACTTCTGGCCTACGGCTGAATCGCAGATACTCTGAATAGCAATGCTCACCTAATGTTTTATAAACGGTTTCTTATGTTTTGTGATAGTGTTTCGGGCATGTATCTAAGCTATTTTAATCAAGACATGACAATAATTAAACAATGGATTATAAAAGTCAATACTTTAAAAAGAAAACGGTGTAGTGCTTTTAAAATCAGTATCTAACCTGACTCATAAATTTCTTCAACTTCCCCCTGTTCACATGACAATTAATCGCTTGAACAAAAATAAGAAATTTTATAATAAGAAGTCTATATGAATGCATTAAGGTACAATGTGTATGCATTTTAAACTAAGCGTACAGCACGACGTGGAAAATGTGTAACATCCCACCCCACAATAAAAAATCAGAAAATATGTTAGACATCTATAAAACACAACCTGAGCTCATGGGCTAGTGTGTCACAACTATAAAAGAAAGACAACAAACAAAACATTGCAATATTAAAACATACAATATAATTCAAACATTTGATTGGTTTAAACCTGTAAGTTCATGCCCGACTAAGTGTGTGTGACTATGTCAGTGTTACCTTTCTATTGCTAAAAATATCAGCTAGAAAAACGTTTCAGGGCTGTGGTCTCCTCAGTCGTCATCTGCGCCGTATGGATATTGCAGCAGTCGCATCGGAATGGCTCCTCCCCTCTGTGTCATCTGGTACTCCATGGACGGATGTTGGTCTAAGTTAGCTCGAACAATCTGAGAGACGGCTCTTAAACATAGCATTCTTGCAACAGGGATGCCACACAAACAACAACAACCTAAAATGACCACCACCGTCACTAATTGCATCAGAACTGCAGATAAAAGATTCTTCCAAACGTCTTAACAAACCAGCCCTGTGCCTGGGTGGAAGTCCCTGAAAAATTGACCATCTCTTCAGACAAAGTTCTAAGACCTTTAACGGCCTTTGTGAATGACCCATCAGTTTCAGTGTGTCCAGGAATAAATGTACAAGARGATCCAAAAACAAACACACTCCATTTTGTTCTGCTAACAAATAGACTAATGCAATGCGATTCTGATAGGCCATCAAGGAGGTTGCAGCTAACTGCTCGTGAGCACTCTGGAGGACYTCTCTGGTCAGATTATTAAGCCTCTGTACATTAAAATGGATGTAATTTATTCTATCAACATTCTTGTTCAATATGATCCATGGTAAATTGCTCTCAAACCCAGCAGCCACCTGATCAGTTAGTTTAGACTCAGACGGAACCCCCCTTGGCACCCCAATAGAATCAATATATGCTGGCCTGCTTTCATATATATTAAAATCACATTTAAACCGTTTCAAGTTTACAACCTGCTTGTCCAAAGTCGACCGATGGGTTATCAATTCCTCAACCGTGATGTTCACAAATCTGACCGGCGAAATCAAGGACACATCAGTGCAGATTCCACTCCAATCAGCTGGCAACACCTTTAGCAAATGGTTATTACCACAATACCAAAACACATCAGCCCTAGAGACATTTAAGATTGTTGCATTTTTCCACAATGTGACATTGATGTCCTCTCTGCACAAGGCCCCATCCAGTTGTCCAATCTCCATCCTCCTTTGCTGCCACCTCCTGGCCAAACAAGTGAAGCTGCCCTTAACCGCATTGAACACCGGAGGCACATCTGTTTTTGGAGAAATAGGAAAGAAATGTTCTAAATATTTACACTGAACTGATGGGTTCTCAGTAATATGCAATTCAAACATACAGAAAAAAACTAGAAGCATTACTTAGTGGTGATGACACTGTCAGTAACGCTGGTCTGGCCTCTGCACAAACAACACAATTTAACAATTTTGCTTGGCTTGCTGCATTTCTGACAAATCTTAACCAATAATTAGTCTGAGTGACTCCAGTTTCTACAGTAAGCTCCTTGCTAGGAGCAACATCAACTTTTAGCTCTAAGTCACTAGGCTGCATCACATGAATGTAGATTTTACCAACTGGGTCTGGTCCTCTCACCACCACCCTCATCAGCAGAACTCCAATATCTGATACCTGTGGATTTACCAAAGTTAGGAACATGGYGTTACAAGTGAACTCATTGTCACACAGGCCCCCTTTAAAGTGGRTTCTTCTAATGTCTAACCTATCCTGAAAAGGAATTCATCCCCATCCACCTAACTGATAACCACACCCAAACTCCTTGTTCAAATTTGGCATTATTTCAGTTGTGCAAACATACACCCTTGCTTCCAAGAGACTTCTTCAGTCTGAGAGTTTCAGGCAAAATTCAGGCTTTTGAGTCCTGCCTCCAGGTGACTGATACTCACATCACATGGCTATCGCTCACAGGTGACTGATACTCACATCACATGGCCATCGTTCACAGGTGACTCATACTCACATCACCTGGCTATCGCTCACAGGTGACTGATACTCACATCACATGGCCATCGTTCACAGGTGACTCATACTCACATCACATGGCTATCGTTCACCCTAATTAATACCTTTTGTTAACAGGGGGTGGAGTGATACTGCCAATGGCAGCGCTGTAGGAGGGGGACAGCTGAAAACGGAGGCCCCCACCTCTGTTTAATGATGGACGGTCTTTCTTTACAAAAATGGCTTCTTTTACTCCTCTCTCAAACCAACGTTCCTCCCGTATGTTGCGGGTGTTTCGGAGAAACTGAGACGTTTATTTTCTAAACATGATGTCCCAGTAGCTTTCAAACCCCAAAACACATTACGGCAAAGGCTGGTTCATCCCAAAGATCCGGTGCCCCGGCACAAACAGAGCAATATTGTATATGCTGTGAAGTGCCAGGAGGACTGCGACCAGTTATACATCTGCAACTGCACGTCTTTTCTAAGCTCAGGTTCCACATGACACGTCACTCCGAACACATCAGCTTTTACCTGATGATGACTTCTTAAGGCACCCTCGGGGTAGGAGCTGGCTCGCCTCTGATCAGTCAGGGAACTGATGTCGGCTCACTTACTGGTCATTGGCGAACAGGTGTTTTTCCATGTAACTTTCATCTGTTTCAGTCCAAGCCAGAAAAATTCAAGCCATATCCGGTTCCTCCTTCCAAAATAAAATCTCCCCTCGGGAGTTAAAAACTGACTTAGAGGCTTGAAGCCTGATTGGGAACCACCGGCAGGCGTGCCGGGACCCTAGCTGTGAAGTCTTCCCTAATTAGCTCATAGGGTCAGACTTAAAAGCCAAACTGAGGTTTCTCCGGAGAGAATCCCAGCTGTCTTCCTAGGTTGGAATCAGGAAGAAGAGCATGTCGCTCAAAGCCGTCCAGGTTAGTAAAAGAAACTGACGAACTCTGGTTCCGCCCTCAGGCTTAGAGATGAGTCAGAGAAAGAAAGATAAAGATTTGCCAGCCGGCGCCAGCCCAAGGTTAAAATTCTGTGGTTGTTCAACAACATATGATAACCTCTTTTCAGCTTTCTTCTGATAGACTATGAGAAATCACTGCAAAACATTTATGGTGATTAATTAACATTTCTGTTTTATAATCAGATCTGAACCTTCTGTTAGTCCAGATAAATGAAAGATTTTCTCAGGAAAAATCCACAGTTATATTACTGTGTTCACAGTAAAATAAAACAGTGATTTACATAAAAACACAATGAAAACATTGTAATCAGATTCTCTGTGATTTTTTTATACCATTATAAATCTTTAAGGCACGATAAAAGAGTAGAAGTGGTTCCACTTTTCCTGTGACAGTTATTATCATGGTTTAACAAATGCATAAATATTCTTAGTTAAACAACAAATGAATCACGAACAGAAGAGATTGTTCTGTCCATTATCTGATTAAGAGAACTGAGGGGTTTTCTTCCACAGTTGGAATGACCTGTCATGGCCTAAATAGAGTTCAGTTTGTGACAGAGTTCCTGTCCTCTCGTCAGGCCTGTTCTAGGCCTGCTTRGAGGCAGTAAATCTTGTTTCTTCACTCGAGGTGACCCCTACATACCCCTACAGTAATATTTATGCTTCTGCTGCTGAGCCATGAGGACCTTCGAAATAAAAAAAACTTAAATCTTAAATAAAAGTTCCTGTGCCGCAATCCCTTCATCTGCTTCCTCCTCAGACGACCCTGACCCACTGACCCCTCCCCGACAGCAGGAGAACAGCAGGAGAGCAAAAGTCACGCTTTGGATACACGCACAGGGCACATCCACCTCGCATGTGTGAACGTTATAAAACTTCACGTTTAAAGTCCGTGTTTGTCGCGGGCCGGGGGTTTCTGCCGCGGAAAAACAGAGCAGGCAGGAGGGGGAGAGGACGAGGAGAAGAGCGATGGACCTATTTCTAATTTTATCTGACTTATTTAATTATATTTTTATTGTTTTTATCGTCCTGCAGGCTGTGTGAGAAAATTAATTTGAAGCTGAGTTTTATTTAATTATTTATAAAAATCGTTTGATTACTCTAAAGCAAACTGAGGGAAAATCTGTGTCAACTACAGCCAGCCAGTGAGAGAGAGAGAGAGAGA